AGGTCACTAACCCTTTGGTGATTTCAAGCATATGGCCTTCCTAGAACTCTTGCGGTTAAATAAACAGGGGAAGAATATAACAAAACATTCATATCAATCTACAAGCATGATTTTTTTCGTGGCCTTGTGGCATACACGTTTCTCAAAAGACAACAAATTCATACATTTTCTATTATTGGTACAACCCCTGGAACTCTTAACTTTGAACATTTGCACTAAACTATGTACTTAAAATATTACACTATCTAACAAATTAACGAGAAAAACTCTACCTTGATACTAAACAATGTTACAAGTATGACATCCAAAGCACGAGTAAGTATTTTTATAAGACGACAGGGTTTTCAGCCAAACCATATTTTGGGAAGAAATGCCGTGGGAAGGTGATAAAGATCTTCTCCCATCTCCTGTATTCATGGGAGAAGAAATCCCCCCACCAAGAAATCCCATGGGCCAGCCGGGTGGATCGTGCCAGATGTGACCTGGGCCGGATGCGACCCATCAATTTTCCACCATACCGCTATAAAAAGCATTTGGACTGGGATGCCAGTAACAAAAGTTAGTCAATGAGGAAATATAAAATTGTTTATAACACAGTATAAACTTCTATCCTTAACTAAACTCAACTCCCACCTCATCAATCCTGCAGACTTAACGAAATCCAATTTGTCTGATCCACTTTTGCTCAAATATGTCATTATAAACATGTCTTACATCCCCTATTTGAATCAGATTAGGTTTAACGAGTACTTAGGTTTGTTTCTACAGGGGAAGAGATTTGAAGAAGTGTTTGAACGGTTAGAATAATCATAGGCCTACAATGCAAGACAAAAATAAGCGAGGAAGACACGAAAAGGGTACGAATTGATTGTATATACTCTGCATATTTTGATCAATGTCGAAGTTATCTATACAGCTAATGTTTTTGGAATAAAAAAAACAGCAGCTGGAAATTAGTTAAGGATTTGAAAATTTTTCTGGAGGTCCGTCTTAGTCGCAAATCACCCAGAAAATCAAAAAAGTTACATTTCCAAATTACAACCCCCCAAATTCCCTTCTTTAAATCATATTTTCTATAAAAAAAAACACGGTTTTAAAACGGCTATAGCTTGAAAACGGTAATAGCTAGCAAAGATGTGTAAGCATTTTCATGGTCAGGAATTTAAATCTTCTACGAGAAAATCTTCGGCGTTTTCGAAAATCCCACTCCTTTACCTAAAAAAAACCACCCTACTTAAAAAATTTGTAAAATGTCTTGGATCCCAACATGGAAAGAAACGTGCATAAAGTGACATTTTATAATTGTAAATCACAAAAACAATTTAAATAAAAAGGTAGTTTTTATTGGGCCAAACCGTTGTGAACGGGTGGTCTAATTCACCCTGTATTCATACATAATGTTTCAGTAGAAAATTGCAGGGAAGCCTTGAGGGCTTGAGGGTAACAAACATTGTTATAAGATGCGACCCATAGCCATAAACTGCAGAACGGGGTCTCTACAGGATGAGTGTGCTGTTTTATTCGTAAGTTATTACTTATGTCAAAAAAATTAATTATAACTTCCTTGGACTGTGTTACAAAACTTATTTATGTTACAAAATACATTTACAAAATTTGGGTCAGGGTGAAAAAAATAATTTTAGTAGCCATTTATCCAATATGGCCACCAACTTTGATTTTTATGGAAAACCCTATATTTTAAGATTTTTTTCAAATAAGGAAATATCATTTAAATAAGTTTGTATTCATGGCATTTTTTTCTCTAGCTACTAATTTAGCTAGGAGTCACAGCGTGTTGAAACTAAGAAAAAAATACTTGCGGTGTACATTCTGCGCCATGTAGCGAACATCCGACGAATGTTAAAGATCTAAGACCTATATCAGTACTGCCAACATTATCAAAGGTTCTAGAGAAAATTGTAGCTAAACAGATTTCAGAATTTATTGAAAAAGAAAACATTTTACCAAAACAACAATCAGGTTTCAGGAAACACTATAGCACTTGCACTTCGCTTCTAAATTTGTTCTAAAAATGCTCGCAAATGAATAATCGTTTGGTCTACTATCATCACCTACGCTGCAACTTCGCATGACTGAACAGAATTCACTATATAGGTTTCTTTGAATTACTCAGGGTTTTAAGGTAGTAAGACCTTTTTGATTTGTGTACTAAAATATTAAACTCATTCCTATTAGTTTTGTACTGTTCCCAATCTCTACCATCTTTAGTTTGCCAATATTTGCGTCTTAACTTATTTGTATTTTTTGATAATTTGTTAATTTCAGTAGTTCTCCATTGGCTACTTTATCATTCCAATGGAGCTTTTTTTCTTTGTTACACGCCTGTGCACTAGGAGTGTGTTTATCGAAAATGGCCTTTATATTTGAGGAAATGAATTTTTCAATTGCATTTACCTTTAAAAATTGCTTAGCACATCCCCAGTCCACTGCCGCCATATCTCTCACTGCACTTGTAATATCAAATTTTGAATTCTTTTCACCAAATTCAAACTCAATACATCCATGAATCATTTTGTGGTCAGTTATTTTAACTCTCCTGTGGTCTCTTATGTTTGAGGTATCAATTACTCCACACCTAAATAATTTTGTGGTGTTTTCGATGATGGCGTGATCTATGAGAGTGGATGACTCGGCAGTGACCCTGGTTCGTTGGTTAGCCAACGAACTGGTCCCTTAGCCCTGGTCCCTTGGTCGTATAGGTTCGTTTATCAGTTGGACTGTATTTGTGCTTTGCAAGAGACGTTTCATGTATTTTGCATCACTGTGATCGGAGAGTAGGTCGATGTTTGTATCTCCTAACACGATGACGTTATCGACCCCAACTGCAAGGTCAATAAATGCAGCATTTAACAACGTTTCTATAGTGGTGTAGTTTGCATTGGGAGGTCTATACCAGGTCTATACATAAAGCAAATTCCAAATACATTCATCGCTTACCCATGATAAAGGTTGTAGACAAGCTAATGGGAGAAAGTATGTGTCAGATTGCTGATACCATTTATTTGCAATTATGATAACAGCTAATTTGAAGTAAGCAACATCAAAAAGCTGTGATACACAAGGAGAACTTACTGTCAAAGTAGGATTGTTTACAGTAATGTTTTTTTTTTTATTTAATACATAATTTGTGAATGTTAAAATTTGTTATCCTCACGTTCCACCACTAAAACATAACATTTTGACATTTTTCTAAAAGTTTTGTTAACAAACATCGATTTAGTATATTAATTCTTTGTTGTATGCCGAATTGTTAAGAAGATAATGTAAAATACCCCCGCCATAGCAAACCTGCAGAATAAGCGAATTTCCATCTACCTGGCTGGAATTCCACTAAATTATTCCCTTAAAATTGTCAGATTTACTTCCTATTTAAATATCATAAATTTTGATGAGTACTTAGGTTTGCTACTATAGGTATAAGAAAATGGGGTTTTAAATTAAAATTTGATAGCTTAGTATGAAGTAAACAGAATTTCATTAAACTATGTCCATAGACAAGCAAGCTACAACAGTTTATTTATTATCCATAAGAATGACATGGTAATTTTAAATTTACTCTTTTTGGGATTTTTCCGTAACCGGTAGACATACAACAATGCTTAATTATACTAAATTATTTGGTTAATTTAGCTCTACAAAATGGTTTGGAATGAAATTGCAAAATTTTACGTTTACAGGGTGAAAAGTGGGAAAACCCCATTTTTACCCCATAAACCCCTGTTCCCATAGTCCGATCATGCTGGTTCACAAACTCGTTCAAATGAATTTAGGATTACACGTTTACCAAATTTAATCAAAATCAGATAATTTTTGCTCCAGTTATTGTGCAAACGGACACACACTCACAGTTCGAAAACCACTTTTTTGGGTCCAGGGGGTCCAAAACGGATAAATCCACTCCGAATTTGAACGAATTGTGTTTTTGGCCTCTGGGGCATCATATTGAAAAAGTAATAAATACTGTCCCTAAGTTACCAGACCTGAGTGCCTAAATACATGAGACCTACGATAATAGCTTAGTCCCTATAATAGGGAATTCAATAAAAGGACTTCTTTGGTACGCTGTTTTCAAATGCAGATTTTTATTTTGGAATTTTTATTTGCTGTGTCAGTAATGTGTGTTCAATTGCAATGGTTTTAATGACTCGAAGCGACAAGATTATATGAATAAAATGTTGTAAAAATATCACCAATACATGAGCATGATGAAATTCTCTATTAAGTTATATTATTCGTTTTATTGTATTATATATTTTAGACTTTGTTTTGTAATATTATGAAAATCGTACAAATGTATGTTTCATTTTTTGACCTTTCAAGCAAATTAAACTCTATGAGCAATGCTCGGTACCCTGGTACTTTCTTGTTTAAAAGACGTAGACCTGCAACTTTGCAGAATGGATTGCACAAGAAACTATTTTGCTACGAATGTGGAAATATACAGTACTGCGTTATAATATCTGCGTTATATTCAAGTTATCAACGAGGACTGTACAAATAAACCCGAAAAATTTGTTCATTAATATAAATATGGTATTTTTTAGTTTTACTATTTTACTGAAGAGATAGCACAGTTGCCTAGCTGAAGCTACAGTTAACGAAATTATTTAGTGTAGGGTATGTTATTTAATTTTGTAATTATTGTACTTTAAAATTTCCTAATTACTAGGGCCACTTAAAGTGCTCGTTTAGGGAGCAGCATAGAAGCAGAAGTAACATAGGCTAGGGCTAGTAATCAACAACATAACAGTATTCAAAGGTCAACCCTGTACTGTAGTGGCAAACAATTAACTGTCAAATTAGTCCATGTTTACTCAAGTAAATTTATCAATTTTATTGAATTGGCATTGTAAACAATATATATTAGACTGATGCGTTCATCATACTAATCTGCACGGTAACATTATATATAATTTACAATGGCCAACTGTATAATCAATAACATTATAATAATCTTTAACATTAGTCCAATTACTCACTTGATATAGGCTAGATACATCCAATGACGATTGTGTGATAACTTTCTTTATTCTTGAACATAAAACTTGCTCTCAAACGACTGAACACCTGATAGTAGGTTACTTTTACTTAAACAAGACACCACAGCTATAACACGTCGATTGCCGTGTGTGCGCTCTGCTGGCGCGAGCGCGACTGATGAATGGCAATGAACAATGAACCAAACAACCAAACCGAGAACCGAGCTGTTTCGTTTCACTGGTTATGCCTCACTACCACTCTCACTGTCTCTAGTGTCTACTAGTAAGTAGCAATTGTCTAGCTTGCTTGAGTCTGAATGACACTATAGCCTCTAGGGCAAGGCCAAGTCCAATGTTGCCGTTATCTAGCAGAGGGTGGTAGAGGAGTGGAGGAGTGGTTGGAGGGGGAATAGCTCCCGGGTATTAGGGATGGAGCGTTTACGGTAGTAAATACCATACCCTTTGGTAATACAGCAATGGTTGTCAGTTTTAATTTCGTGACCAGTAAAATGCCTAATCTGACAGTCACGTAACTCTCAAGGCCATCGCTGAACGGTTCATAGACATTCACAACATAAAGAGTAAAAAAATATAACACATGATAATGCAAAGTTAGACCAGAAATAAATGTTTGGTCAAGAAGTAGCATTTCTCCAACCCTACTCCTACTTTGCAGTGGCCAGCAAGCAGCAGGCTGAGAAGATGTTTCATTCTGTGTTTCTCGTAGTCGTGAACCGCCTCGTTATGATTAAGCGACATACTATAACGGTTCCTGAGTTCGGGTTGTCATAGTCCTGAGGTTATCGACAGAATTGTGACCGACAGTTTACAAGTTTCTTCACGAACTTGTACTTGACAACATAACTGGTATAAGCTAATGTTATTCCCCAAGCGCAACTAAAGCCACTGCTTTACTGCAGAGAATCACAAGGAATATTTGCTGAAAGGTGTTTTGCACATGCAGTACCTCTTCCGCAGTGTGTGTTGCAGGTGTTTTCAACAAACACCTGCCATCATGTCCACCGATACACAACTCAAATGCCAATGTTTCAGGTCTACAATACAAATTCATTGTCCTGGCCGTCGCACCCCAACACAATGTAAGGGGGGGGGTTGTTTACAGCCTTTTTTTATAGACTAATATCTTCGTCTATATTCTCCACTTACCGACAATTACCAGATATTTGTCGTTTGTTTAATAGTCCAGTGCAACTAGCTCAAAAATGGCAAAATTTGGGAAATAAAAAAAGTTGAAAACTGTTGGAAATAATTTTTTAAAGTCTCCTGAACCCAAAGAAGAAAGTCCCAGAAAATCCCATGGGGAAATTTTCCGCCATTTCGAAAAAAATAAGTCGGCCATGTTGGATTTATGCAAGCGTTTACAGAAGTGGGTGTTACTAATAAACTAATTGACTTAAAAACCTCCTATTAAAATGTTTCGGTGTTTTGTGTGAATTTTAAAGACAGTAAAAAGGAGGGAATTATTTAAGCCATCCTAATGATAGATAATTGATAAAAAATATACTTTTAGTGTTATGTGATATTTTATTTATATTTGAAATAATCTAATATCTATTAACAATTTGCTTTCAAAGAGGATAGAGACTGTTGCTTTGTTGGGGCAGACTTTAGACGCATGTCTCGGCACGAACTGCAACTAACCTCCAGCGGTCATGTATCACTAAAGCTGCCATATCTCAGTTAATATTCGTCTAATCTTAACAAATAAGGTGTCAACCGATTTATGATTAAATTGCCCCAAAAAGTTATTCTCGTAAAATCTTTGTAAAACCAACGGTTTTTAAGTTATTAAAGAAACAAAATTTGTAATGGCCACCATTTTGATTTGTGAATCTGAAAATTTTTCCTAATTTTTTGTAGCTTTGTCTAGTTATCATAAATGTTTGTGCAAAGTTTCAATTTCCTACATCAAACCATTATGAAGGAAATAATTTATAAGTGAAAATAACAAAATGGCGGCTATGCGAGTAACTAAGGACTTCCGGACAATTTAAATATGATATTTAGATATGATTCCTACCCAGGAACAATGCCCTAAAATGTTGGTAGAGAGTTCTGAAACACCCTATACGGTGTATATGTTACACTCAATCTCCGAATTCGGACATTGTCCGAAATTTCTACTCACTCCGCGATATGGATAGTGTGAAATACCCACGTCGCGGAGTGGGCATTTTATTTCGGACATTGGCCGAAACGAAATGCCCAGACCGCGTTGTGGGTAAACTGATTTATTCAAACGCCGAAGTCAAAACCTTCTTCGACGATTGAGCAAATTCAAAATACCCACATCGCGATGTGAGCAAAAGTGATTGCCCACGTCGGGTAGTGGATATTTCTAGTTTGCGCAAACGCCGAATAGCCTGTATAAGCTACCGTATACCCAAAAATCTACATGAAATCCACAATCACTTGGTAAAATAAATAAAATTTATGTTTTGATTATAATTATTTAATGTATAAAATAGCTTTTTAGAAAATAAACAGCAAATCACCGAATAGGAACAAATATAAAAAGGTCCATTACACATACATTGAGAATACGTTTTTCCGCTTTACAAAAATAGGAGTAACCTTAAAACACCGATTATCACACAGTTCTTTTTACATCTTTCTTTTACTTATTGACACATTATTAAGTCACTCTAATTTAGCGAAAGGATTTAAAAATTAAAACTAATCTTACCTGACATCGTGAATTCAATAATGATGGGACGGCCAGTCCTTTACTTTGAGATTTTTTCTTCAGTGAGCAAGGTTCGAACATATCCAAGTATATTTTAATCACCTCTCTGGAAATGTTGAAAAATTTCTTTTTAAGCTCTACTTCCATAGCTTTCTCTTTCTTAAGACCAACTCGCAAGTGAGCTGAATGAATTGTGTCATACATTTGATCGATGCGACAAAAATATTTTATATCTGTCATTTCACCAGTTGTTTTTAGCGAATTTCCCTATAGGGAAGTAGCTATTACCGTAGGTGGCACGGTAAGACCTAGACCCGGGACCGATTTTCTTTTTCATTTTGATGTCCCCAGAGGCCAAAAACACCATTCGTTCAAATTTTTATATATGTATATATATATATAGACTTTTATATATATATATATGTATAGACTTATATATATATATATATATATATATATATATATACGTCCGTGAACGTGATAACTTGAGTAATTTTTGTCCGATTTTGATGAAATTTGGTTTAAAGGTGTAAAGCGGGATAAACTTGAATGAGTTCGCAAACCAGCATGATCGGACCCTGGGAACGGGGCTTTACGGGGGGTTTTATGGGGTAAAAATTGGTTTTTCTCACTTTTGACCCTCAAAACACAAAATTTCCCAGTTTCTCTTTAGACCTTTTCAAAGAGCTTAAAAAAACAATTAATTTAGTATATAAAAGTATTTTTGTCCGGTTAATAGTTAATGAGAAAATTAAAAAAATTGTAAATTTAAAATTCCCATGTTATTCTTATTAAGAATATTGTCAAATGTTGTAGTTTGCTTGTTTATGGATATATTTTGTATTTTGATCAAATTTATTTATTTTGTACTAAGCTATCAATATTTTACAAAAAAAACACACTTTATTAGCTTCCTTGTAGCAGCAAACCTAGGTACTCGTTAAACCTAATGTTATTAAAATATATTTAATTGAAAATCAATTAAGACAAATGGAAATTCGCTTAGTCGGCAGGTTTGCTGCGGCGGGGGTATTTTAATTGCACGTGCAGGTCCATCCATCCTAATCGCAAATAGTGCAAATGGTGGGGGTGAAATGTCTGAACGTGAATTCGGCGTTTGCCTAAACTAGAAATACCCACAACGCGACGTGGGCAATAAATCTTGCTCACATTGCGTTGTGGGTATTTTGGATTTACTCACTCGCCGAAGAACGTTATGACTTCGGCATTTGAGTAAATCAATTTACCCACAACGTGGTCTGGGCATTTCACTTCGGCCAATGTCCGAATAAAATGCTCACTCCGCGACGTGGGTATTTCACACTATCCACATCGCGGAGTGGGTAGAAATTTCGGACATTGTCCGAATTCGGAGATTGAGTGTAACATATGTACGAATAGTGTTTTTGGCCTCTAGGATCATCAAAATAAAAAAAAATATATCGGTCCCGACTCCAGGTCCCACCGTGCCACCTACGGTAATAGCTACTTCCCTATAGGGAAATTCGCTAAAAATGTGTTTTTTTTATTTTTTATACTTTTTTTACTAACTTAAAGCTTATAACTGACATATTGTAACTAAAAATTCGCATTTTTCACCAAAGGATCCTTTTTTTCTTGGACAATCACTTGGCAAAAAACCGCTATCAGAACCTAGCACCCTCTTCACTCGCTGGCTGCTAAAGCTGGGGAGAGTGCAGGTCAAGCAGGTACTTGCTCTTATCACTGGACACGGCCATTTCAGGAATCATCTCCATACTCTAGGAATTGTCAATGACAAGCAGGAGTGTCGACTTTGTAACCAGTCCGATGAGACTGCAAAACACATTATTCTGGACTGCGACGGATTAGGGGCTAGGAGAAGGGCTCTGTTTGGTCTAAAGCAGCCAGGTGATGAATCGGACGCTAACATTGGGCAAAAGCTCCTGCACCTAGTCAAGGGCACAGGCATAGGCTTACCCAGTTAGTGGCAAGTGGGATGCACAATAAGCTACGGTTGACGTGCTTGGACCATGAGTCCACCCTCTTACAATCAATCAATCAATCAAGTATCCTTTTGGTTTGCTGTTATAAGGAAAATTGTTAATACAAATTGTAGAGACTTATCTGTTAACACCAAATATTTTTAGAAAGAATATTACTCCCCAGCTGCTGCAATATCCTCTTGAGGAGAATTATCTTCATTGAATTTATTGACGGATTCCCGAAGTCCTGCATCGTCTTGAAGTTTCTTTTACACTGCTTTCTATCCTTTGCTGTGTATGGCATAGGTTGTATCGCAACCTGTGAATGTGTGTATCAGTAGGTAAACTGCTTCCCCTCGGCTATTTCTTACATTTGATTTACATTCACTAAACAATTGAATTACAGACTAGTTAGAGTTCAATTGTGTAATATAATGGAAGTCATAATTTGAGGTAAAAAATAAATTACAGCTACCCATT